CGCAGCCGCCGCCGCTCTGAGCCCAGCCCCGCGCCTCCTCTCCGCACCGTTTATCTTGCTTGGATTCACCTTCAAGAGATTTCCGGACCCATCAACCAGCCGCCGCCACAGACGGGGGAGTCTTTTACATCATTATCTCTGAGTAGGTTATTATGAAGAAGACTCGCCTGTTGGGACAGCGCTTTCTACCCAATCAGGTTAACGTTTTAATTAATAGGATTAAAACGGTAACAAACAATCGCAGGCGCTATCTGGCCGCGAGTCTGAATAGTTTCATTTCCCAGGTCTGAAGACAGGCAGCAGCTAGAGCTTTATAAAAGGCGCCTGCTCCATTATTCTGCCTGCCATCTGTATACACAGCTTAGCGCATATGTTTGCAAGGCGCTGGGTCCTGTTAGTAACCCAACAACTGCCTTTAGCTTGACATGTGTGGCGACTTTCACTCATCAATGAGCACACTAAAAGCCCTACTTAGAGCCGAGGATGTTCTTTGCTCCTTCAGCAAATTGTAGATCGGCGGCGAAGCCTGCGAGTCCTGTGGAAAGCAGACGCCCCCACCCACCGCACCCCACCCCCCACTGCCCTTCCCTCGCCACTGCTGTCTCAGCTTGTGCTAAATTACCCTTCCGGGCGAGAATTATACTCCACCCCTGTTGGTAGGATGACTGGGTCTGGATTTGGGGATGGGACTTTCCGAGAGGAGGTGGTGTCCCAGTTGGCTTGCCCAAAATTCACTCTAGATTTTCAGCTAGTCAGAGAGCAAAGCAGTCGTCCCCCCGAACACTCAGCCTCATTTCCACACCCCCCACTGCCCATTTCCTACCCAAATGGGAAAAAGAAAGGAAAAAAAGCAAAATGAAGAGCAAGTGATCATGCAGCCCATTTTTTTGTTGTTGTTTGTTTAAGGTGGGATGGGAGTGATTTTGCAGTGGTCTCCAAATAACTGTTAACAGTGATGATAATTGTGAAGTACACAATTTCCTAAACTGGAAAAAAAGAAAAGAAACAAACAAACCGGTTTCTCAAACTTTCCTTAAGATGAAAATCTGGTTGCTTCAAAAGAGTAAACTTCACCAGGAGTCAATTCCACTCCCACACCAAGTGAGGCATTTATGCATATTTATTTACCCGGAAGCCATTTAAGGACATCTGGATCAGCCTCGGTTGTTCTTGGAGGGTTCGGGAAGGGAGAATGTGGAAACAAGCGCTCATCTCCGGATGGGCAATGGTACACGCGGTCCTCTCACTCCTGAGTTCGGTCTCTGGGTACACATGGTATTTAGCAGCTGGTTTCCATCCTTATGACATAAGTAAAAACAATATTTCCCAAAACCTTCCAATAACTCTTTCTTATATGGCAGAATTACTGAAGACTATGCAATTTTTGGTTTCTCTGTTTTCATTAAAAACCTTTTAATTGTGGCTTTCAGAGTTGGCCCCAGGTGTTGGACTCTTTTCATTACATTTTGCTCTAATGTGATGAAATTCTAATTCTCTCCTTACCATATGGTTAAATTTCCCCACTGAGAATTAGTTGAAAAAGGAGAAATAATCTATTAATCTCTGTAATAGAATCACAAATGAGGTTCGCCACAGAACCTGTTTTTGAATGGTAATATCAGAACAGTTGGGCACCTTATTTCATAAAGGAAGGGTGAGGGCGACAAAAAATGTCTGTATTTTCACCTGGAAAGGATGAAAAGGGGCCCAGCAGTATCTTTCCATAGTAATTCTCTGAGATCCAATCTTCAGGGGACAGAAATACTACGTAGACGTCGGTGACCTACGCTCCTTTGGATGTCCTGGAACCTAAAGATTGAGAAAGATCAGGTGGGGCTGCGGGGGGCTCTTGTGCCTGAGACCAAGACCGGGGTTTCTGCAGGCTTGAGCTGTCCCACGTGTCTCGTCTGGGACCCCGAGGTTGTTTACGTGCAGGGCGGCCCCTCGCTCACCGCAACCCTCCCACCGTCCCTCCCCTGGCGTTCGCAGCTGTTAACCTCTCCCTTTAGAAAGCTAAAGACACGCTAGTGTTACTGTTTTTCAATTAGCAGCTTTGTTTTCACTGGGATCATAAACAAAGGTTCTCTCTAAACCTAAATGAGTCGTGTATGCATGACACTAACTTATCAAAGTCCTTGGGTCACTTTCGGGAGAGCGGAGACTGGCCCGGTCTTGGCTCTGGGCAGGGTGGGAACACATCTCACAATGTCTGACTTAGTTCTCCAGCCAGCTTGCCCTTTTTGTGGTCTACCACCTTCCGCGGGGCGCCAGGATTCCTGCCGGCCCGAAGTGGACATTTGAAGGGAGAAGGATCGATCATGTCTGGGACTGGTGGGGGGCGCCATGCGGGACTGTGAGCGGCAGAACCGGGATGGCAGAGCAGGGGCGACACTGAGGGCGGCAAAAGCCCTGCCAGCTCAGCTAGACCCAGGATCTTCGCAGGACCTTTGTCTTTCGCCCTTAGACAACAAACACTTGAGCGCACCTCGTGGCCCTTCCCCGACCCCACCTCCACGACCTCCTACCACCTCCCTCCTCTCCCTGGCCATCCAAACTCCTGGAACAAACTTTTGCACAACTTCATTTTACTCGGTAGGAGCCAAAAGCCTCTTCCTTTTGTAATTCAAGAAAATCCCCCTAGTCTTCCCGGAGGAGGTGGCTGCTTAATAGTCGCTGAAAACTTTGCTTGGGGAAACGGCCGAAGAATTTATGGAAGCTCTAAATACGGGCCTTACAACAACCGTTGGGGAATGGTCTTTGAGGTTTATGCACTCGTAAACTTTTGCTGATTGCTTCTGGGAAGTTGTCAGGCACTTAACACTGCATTTATCTTACAGGGCAATGAAAACACATCTGCCCGGTGTCTCGTTACTTGGTTTAATCGTCGCCAGCCCTAAGTCACGGCCTGGCCTCCTTCTCCTCAACTGTGTGGGATCCCGCCGCCTGGTTTCGGCCGGGCACAGGGGTGACGTCAGCCGCTCACACAGTGCCCCCTGGCCGCTGGAGCTCGGGAAATCTGTGCACTCGAACTTGGCTCCGCCAAGAAGGTGGGCAAGGATCCGGGCTCCTGATGGAACTGGCAAGTTGGAAAAGTGGCAAAGGAAAAGCCAACGTGAGCGCTTTCGGCTTGCACGGACAGAAAGGGTGGGAAATCAGGTCACGGCGAAATCTTCTGACTCACAGATGACCGCTTAGAATGAAACTACGGAAGAGAAGTCCTCTGACTCTGCAGTTTCACAGAGGGTCACTGAGTTACCAAAGCAGTTGGGAAACAGGGGCAGAGGACTGCCCCCAGTCTGCCGGCAGCAGGGGTACGGGGGACAGCTCGGGACACTCCGGGGACCGAGCGGGCAGTGGGCGCCTTCCCCGAGGAACACCCAGCCCAGCGCCCCAGGTTCTGGGCTGGTTGGCTCATCGAGACTGGTTGGCCAAAGCATCAGGAAAGGGAACGTTTTCGGCCGGGTGTTGGATACCAAATTATAAACGCCAGGGCAACTTGTGTAAAGATGAATATCGTTTTGTTACTGCGGGAGGGAATACACCTACTGCTTTGAAGGGATTTTAAAATATTCAGCAAGCAACACCGCATTGAAACTAGTGCATTGAGCTGCAGACCAAACTAATTTCTAGGTACTATTTAAATTCCTTAATGGTCATCTTGATATTTACTTGAAATTTGAGATAGGAACCCAAATAAAATCAGAACGGAACATAATCTGCTGTAAAGAGCAAAGCCAGGAGTTCTTCTTTGTTATTTTTATAGTCATGATAAATAGTTTATTACTTCACTAGTTTGAAAAGTTACAAGTCTGAATTTCAGTAGCTATGTGTGTTTTCTGAGAAGGAAAATTATCTCTCTGTGTGTTTCCATTTATCTCTTTCAGAACATTCTAAAAAGTAAAAACAAAGTTTGGCAAAAATGACAACTTTTGCTTGAGAACAGCCCTGGAAAAGCGAATCCACTGAGAGCCGTGAGAATTCTCCGCCAGCTGTGCTTCCCCAGCCGAGGAGGAATCCAACCCGGAATATCATTTCTGGTCTCCACCGCGGAGGCCCCAGCTGGACCCTCTCCCGAAAACTGCTCGGGGAGGGGGGTGCGGTCACAGAGCCCTCCACTGCGGGGTCCAAGCCTCAGTAGCCGGGCGCAACCTCAGCGCTCCAAGCCCAGCATTCTTGGCAGCCCTCCAGGCCCGAGTCAGAGGCACATTGACCTTGAAGTTACACTTGATGCGTCCACCTGGGGCTGCCTGGTGGCGCCTGGGTCAGCTTGAAAGCCGCGGGACTGAGGGGGCTAGGTGTGAGGTTCACCCTCCTGCGCCCCCGCGAGATTTGGGAGCAAGGGATCTACCCGGAGGCAGAGAGATTCCAGCCCATCAAGCGCCAGAGGTCAAGCCTTTTGGCGTCGTTTTGTCGTCTGTATTTTCTCATCCCCTTCCCCAAGTCCTACAAAGCTCACTTCAGAGAGACTGGGTCCACATGTGTGGGCTCATGAAGAGGAGGACAGCGAGGGTGACGACGCTGGGGGACTAGCGCGAGCTGGCCTATTCCTGGCAGTGCGCCAAGGGTCCCCGGTCTTGCTAGTCTTTCCAAGTTGCTTGGCTATTCCAAAACTCGACTGTGGAAAAGTTGAAACTTGTTCATATAACGTTCTTTAGAAAAGATTATCCTTGTCTGTATCTATTTTACAGAAAAGATGTTGGTCCTCACTACTGTTTGGCGACAAGTTAGCCTAAATTTGGACAGACCTTGAAGAGAAACCCTGAACCCCGGGAGGCAGCCTTTTCAGCGCAAGGTGCACACACAGGTCCCCTAGCCCACTGCGAGGGTCTCACCTGGCTCCCGCGTGCTCTTTCCCCACCTTGGCGACTTTGAAGGCCAAGGGGACCGTACAGTGAGCGAATAACTTGGCGCCTGCATTATCACTGCTGAAATCCCAGAGAACAATGTAGGACATGCGGGTGGAGGTAGAGTAAAACTAGTGAAAAGAATGTATGAGGAATTCACAACCTCCTTGCCTACTTGGGACAACTCCTTCATTCAGTTGTCCGCCCTAGGGGACTGTTAGGCTTATTTGTGTCACATGCGTCTCTTCCCTGGAATCTTATCATCACAGAATATTAAACATTTGAAAAAATTTTAAAGATTAAACTTGTTCGAGGTAAAAATGGTAAACACTGTTAGGGATTGCCTGGCTTGTACGAATTAAGGAAAGAAAGAAACTGAAAATTCAGCTCGGCTTTGGGAAGTTTAGCTTTGCGATTTAAAACCCACAGCGCCATCTCCTGGTAATAAGGAGAATATAGCGATGGATGACAATACTGAAATGCTGACTATGAAATACTCAAATGAGAGAAACGCCTCAAAAATTATTTCAACGATAGGTTGATTATGATTACAAAACATGATCTGACATGGACATTTATTATCATTAAAAGTTATCAGACAGAATCCTGGAAGCTAATGATTTGTAAATAGAAGTTTGTATATTTATACATACATATATTTTATAGATTCAGATGCTTATGCTGTGAATTTATGATATGATTCTATAATTTATCACAAATACATAATTTTATAAAACAGTTCTCTGTTTTGCTTTTTGTGAATGATTTTACCATATATGGTAGAAAAAGAATAATAGGATGTGGTGATACATGGAAACATAAAATCTCCTAGTTCCTCATTGCATTTTACTAGTCAACATTAGTAAATACTTTAGCCCCACTTGTCTCAATAACCCCTCACTTTAATCTAAGTCTTCTCATCATGCAGTCTTACAAAATGTCTTATTGTCTTATTGTTAAGACATCATGACAAGAATGTGTTAACATTATTCAGACATTCTGATCCTGAAATATCATCTGAAGTTAAATTATTTTCCAAAAGTTTGATGCACATAATAGAATCATAAATACCTAATACTTTTTTATTAAAATGTTTCTGAAGTATTCTTTTGAGCTTTGCTTCCTTTTATAAAAAAGATTGAAACACACTAAAATTTAGAGATGATATCCCTATTAAAAACAGTTCTCCTCCATGATTGTATACACAGGCCAGCTGCTTGAAATAAAAATAAAAGTACATATGCTTTTTGTAGTGTACAAAATATTATGAATATCCTTCAAAATTGTAGATCAAACAGACAAATATAAACTTTAGTTCAGTTGAAAGATTCATTTTATTTGATTAATTAAAGTGAAGCTCTATTAAGCCAAATATTTGGACTCGTTTACACTGTCAATGTAAGAGTTCCCATTTGAAAGAAAGTTGATTATATAAAGGAGGAAGCAGATAAACAGATGGTTATCTAGAGAGTTTTTCACAGTTAAATTTTGAAATTTAACATGGATAAGTTTGATATCTTCTCAAACATCTTTGATGAAGTCATTTGATCTATTCTAGCAATGCAGTATTGTTGCACATCATCATTTTAACTTATGTTTAAGAAAGATTTAACTTGGCTTTTTATTTTTATTTGGCTGAAAACTGTACTGATTGAATTGTCCATGAGAGAAATACACATGCATGCACGCACACACACACACGTGTATATATGTACGTATACCTATATATGTGTGTGCTGTATTTACACAGTAATAAGCACATCTTGTAAAAAGGAAATCAACAGCTGCAAGGCATCATGACAAGAGGGTCTTAACATACAAATGGCATTTCTCTAATGAAATGTTTCATCCAGTTACCTGAAGGCAGCCATCATTTGCTTCCAATGGTGTTGGCAGACAAACCAGGCTGCCTGTCTATTGCAGTACAGTGCCCACATGGAGAACGGACATTATCACGTGGGTGGCATGGAGACATTAAAGTTCATCTTAAAAGCAATTTAAGAGCCTTCTGGGCTTTAGGTACTTCTGGAAAAAAAAATCTCCCACTCCCTCCAAGGATGAGAAGTTGAGATTTTCCCAGAAAGATTGTTTTGCAATACATGTACTTAAACATTCTTACTCCCTTGAGTTGCTTTCCATATTTTCAGGAACAATGCTCATAATGCTCATGGGGAAAAAGGGCAGGGGAAGGAATAAAGGAAGGATGAAAGGAAGGCAGGGAGAGGAAAAGTAAGTATGTCGTCTTGAGGCCAGATAATGTATTTTGTGTGTTTAGTGAATGTGGAAAGTACTTGTCTAATAAAGATACTGTTTGCTTTTCTTTTACAAAAAAAGTTTTTGAGGTATAATTTTTACATATTTCCAAACCTGATTGCACTTCTCTGTGAATTGCTTTAAATGGTTGGAGTAGGTATACTATAGGTATAGTAGGTATAGTAGAAATAAAACATCCCCAGCAGAGTATGTAATCTTGGGCAATTTCCTTGATTCTACTTAGCCTC